CCACCTCCCATTCATGGGTGTTCTGTCTTCATGCCGTAGGCTAGGCCCCTTCTAAGTGTCTACATCCAACACCAGCATGGAGGAAGTCAGAGGGGAAGGAGAGGGGACAAGCATCCCATCCCATTGATCAAGTGGCTTCTCTTCTCTGGGCAACTGTGTCTTTATCTCTAAAACTGGGAACTGCGGGTTTCAAAGGTCCCTTCCAGATTTCGAGTTCTGAGGTTTAATAGCCATACTTTCAGCAATAATCAAGCACCTGCTGTATACAAAATATGTCTCTAAGCACTCTGTGCTCACTATTTTATTTAACACACTCAAGAGCCCCAGATGTGGAGAGCTCTCATGGCCCCATTTTCAGAGACAGAGAACTGCAATGCAGAGAGAAGACTGCTATGATTTGGCTAGGAAGGGTTACCCCATGTGTTAAAGGCTAGGTCCCTCCGGGATGGATGGATTTAATCATTGAGAGATGATTGGGTCTTAAGGGCTCTGACCTTATCAGTGGATTAACCTGATAACTGAGTCATGCTGGGGTTGTGTTGTTGGGAGGTGGTTGAAACTCTCGTAGAGAGAGGCTCATTGGAGGAATGCCTTCAGAGAAGAATCCCTTCTTCTGTCTCTGCTCCCTGGCTGCCATAAGGTGAGCAACCTTTCCTTTGTCACGTCTTCTGCCTTGATGCTTGGTGCCTCACTGCAGGTCTGAGAGCAACACAGAAGCCAGCTCGGGAGAGCATGAGCCAAAGTAGTCCTCTCTTCCTTCAAGCTGTCTTCTTGAGCATTGTCACAGCAATGGAAAAGTGGCTACTCTAAAAGGTCCGGCTGGAGCCATCAGCCAACAAGAGACAGGCAAAAGTGGAAGCTGGGGCTCTCTGCTGCCTCATCTAGGGCTCATCCCCCACGCCACTTCGCATACATCCTTTCTGATTCTAAATTCAGATCTGGAGAAGGTAATGAAGACAAAGCCAATTCCTTCCTAATTTGGCCAACTGGCTACCCGCTGTTGTGTCAGAGATCAAGCTGCCAAGACCTCAGTCCGACCTGGGAAGCACAGCTGAGGGCCTCCGAAGCCTGACCTCACTCCCGACTCCCCAGAGCCTTGCCCGCAGGTCCCCTTCTCCCACCAACACCACGTCCTGCGTCGTGCGTCGTGTGGAGGAGCTGTGGCTTCTGAGTGTTTTCCTTGTTCTATTCTCTCTGTGCCTCTGTCCCTGAGCTGCTAGAACACGGCCAGTCCCCTGGGTGTGGCTCATGGCTCTGCCTGCACAGAGGAGTGGCCGGTGCACACAGGAAACCTGCAGTGACGGTTGACACAGTGCTGTGCACCTGAGTGAGGCACCCTGGGCTCCCCGCCCTGCTGTGGATACGGGCACCCTGTGGTTGGCGTGGAAATGCAATTTAATTTCCAATTAAGCCTGGTTTCTGGGCCAAGGGATTTGCCTGTCTCACAGTGGGAAGATGAATCCCGCCAGATCTGCTGTCAGGACAGGTGATGGTTCTCCCGTGAAGTTGACTTCCAAGGAAACTAGCCCTGCACCCCCGGGATGGTGGGCAGGGCAGGGACGCAGTCCCATTGGCAGCCTTGCTCTTCCCCATGAATTCAGAGTGCTTGAGAGCACTGGGGAAAGTACACAGGAGCCAGTGGGAGAGGGGTGGGGTGGCTGAAAGGTCACGCTTGAGCTGGTTCATTCAGCAGTCCCGTCAGGACCACTGTGGATGGGGTGTGCTGGCCCCCGGCGGCCTTGGATGTAGACTGGAGAGAGCAGACTCAGGCAGATGGTTAGCCTGGACACTGCCCTCATTACAGGTGTTTAGACTTGGCATATCAAACACCTACTGATGCATCACAGGGGCAGTCCAGGGTCATCTGAGAGCCTAGGCTCTGCAAGAAGGCCCATGGGGTCATCAGACAAGGCTTTTGCCCCTGGGAACAGCTGAAAGAGTGAGGTTCACAGTGGTTAGTCTGAAGCCATACCGGCTAGATTTAAATTCCTGCTTTCCTATTGGATGGCTGGATTTAACCCCTGCTCTCCTATTGGATGGCTGGATTTAACCCCTGCTCTCTTATTGGATGGCTGTGTTTAAATCCCAGCTGTACCAAGGCTGACTCCTGGGCTGTCCCTGTGCCTCAGTTGTCCATCTATGAAATGGAGATGCCAGCAGTAACCTTGGGGGAGGATACTAAATGAGTGCCAAATGAGCCATATGTGGAAAGCCTTGGCCTAGATCCCAGCACACAGGTTCTCAACAAATGTTAGTTCTTAATACTGTTAAGGACGACAGGGTCCTGCACAGGGAGTGATTAGCAAAATGTACCCCAAAATGGAAAGATTACATGATGCACATTACCATGTAAGAGAGACAGAGGAGCGCGTGTGGGTTCTTCTCTGGCAATACTTCTGAAACCAGATAGAGGTGCTTTTTCCTGCTGATAGTAACCAGCTTTGACACTGAGAGGCGCCTTACAATTTAATTCAACTTTGACACTGCCCACAGATAGGGGCACAGTCCCACCATGGGGTGCTCCGTGACCCCTCTTCTGCCCAGCTTCCCTCCCCTTCCAGGTCCAGCAGGTCCCTAGAATGAGCCACAAGATCTGTAAACATATTACTATTACAATAGCCCCTCTTTGCTTTGGGAATCTGTCCCCAGAGTCCAGCAGATTCTTGAGACTAGATGATGGCAAACCTGAGACAGGCTGGGCTTTTCCATATGTGGGTGAATATAAATATGTGTGTTCTGTGAAAGCTTAACTTGTGAATTAGTCAAGCAAGCGATGAACAGTAAACTAATAAAGTAGAGCAATTATAAAAATCTACTGTGACAAAAGTCAAGTGGGTGTAGTCTGTCTCTCCGCACCCTTCTTTCCCCGTGTGGGATGACAGGGTCTGGGTGTGGGGTGTGGTGATGTGAGTGCCATGCTCTAGTGCTGGTTACTGTGTACCTGCTGCTTGAGTGCCAGCTCTTGTTTCCATGACTGTCGGTCGCAAGGCCGCTGTTCCCTGGCGAGGTGTGGGTGGTGGATAGCCAGGAGGACATGCTGATGAAGCGTGATTCACCAATCTGGTGAGATGGGGCAGGGCGGCAGGAGGTTTTCTCACAGCTCAGAATGGCGTGAAATTCAAAACTTAATCAGGTGCTTACCTGCAGAATTCAAAATTTCTGGACCACAATTCAAAAAGTGCAGAAAGCAAAACCCTGTCTAAGGTGAACTACTGCACTGGTTTCCTATAAAGGATGAAACTCAAGAGTGTGGAAATGCAGATGTGTACCTGGAGGGGTGCGGAGCATGCGTGGATGGGGCTTTTGTGGGGAACGTGGCATTGCTGTTGGCCACCTCTGCCTGCACTTAGCTTCCAGCCCCGTAGAGGTTGTGTTGAAAACATAGCTCCAGGCGAACTTCCTTCCGTGTGTCCTAGTCCGTTATCCATTACTATACTGGAGTACTTCAGATTGAGAAATGTATAAAGGAAAATTGATTGCTTGTAGTTCTGGAGGCCTGTGGGTCCCAGGGCCTGCATCTGCATCTGATGAGCAGCTTGCGCTGCGTCAGGCAGACATGGAGAACAGCATGGCATGGAGATGGAGCGTGTGAGCGGCTCAGGTGCCTTCCCCTTTCCCTACAAAGTCACGGTGCCATTCGGGGCCCCTCCGAGAGGCCCCACTCCATGAGCATGTGCATTTGGTGTTACGTTCCCAATACACAAACGCATGGAAGACACATGACAACTATGGCAAAATGCAGTTACTACTGCTTTATTAATTACAAGCAATACATAATTTTCCTATTGCTGAAAATTGACTTAAAAAATTAAAGCAAACGGGGGCTAAAAAAAAAGACCACCATCCCCGGTTGATCCTTGTGTGCTTTGGTTTATTTCCTCACAGCCCTTGGTTGTTTTACCTATGGAGCCCCTGGTACGAGCAGGGTACCAGCAGGACCTGCATCCATGGATCCAACCAACTGCAGGTTAATAATATTTAGGGGAAAACTGCATCTTTGTTGAATGTGGACAGGCTTTCTTGTCATTAGACCCCAAGTAATACAGTATTTGCGGGCATTTAGGTTGCATTGTGTTGCACGACCTAACGTATATGGGAGCGTGTCCATGGGTGCAATGCAGATACTGCAGCATCTTATGTGAGTGGGTGTGATGCAGATACTGCAGCATTTTACACAAGTGGGTGTGATGCAGATACTGCAGCATTTTACACAAGGGGGTGCAATGAAGATACTGCAGCATTTTACACAAGTGGGTGTGATGCAGATACTGCAGCATTTTACATGAGTGAACAAAGTGCAAATGCCACAGTATTTTACATGCAGGCATGCAGTACAAATACTGCATCCTTTTACATGAGTGGGCATGATGCAACTACTGTGGCATTTTATGTGTGTGGATGTAAAACCAATACTGCAGATTTTTATGTGCATGGGTGCAATGCAGTTACTGCAGCATTTTACGTGAATGAATGAATGAAGTGGAAATGCCACCACTTACATGAGTCAATGCGGTGGAAACAACATTTTATGTGATGGCTTGGTGTTTGTTGGGCCTTGGCAGTAAACCTCTGCAGACAGAGACAATAGTATCTTTACATGCTGAGATAAAAGCAGTGTCCTTTCAAGAAGAGCCCTAGAAATGGGAGCTGCTATTGTGTCTGTGGGGCTGGGTTTACCAAGGATGGCTGCCTGGGTGGGAACACAGGCACCGTGGTGACAGTCCCGGTCCTTCGTGGGATAGGCCGTGACAGAAGAGGTAACGGATGGGAACCACTGAGCGAGGACGGGCTGTCCCTGTGTCCTCGGAGCCACAGGGGCCACTGCACATTACTGAGTAGGAAATGACATAGCAAAGAGATTTCCCAAAGGCCAACCTGCAGCAGAAGGCAGGACAGATTGGAGGGGAGACTGAAGGCAGGGAGAAGGCAAGCGCACACACGGGAAGAGTGCTTCCCGGCCCCTGTGACGGGCGTGTGTGTGGTGGCGTGGTGTGGGATGGTCATTTCTGGGCTGCCAGGATGGAGAGGGACCGGTTGAGCTTCACCATGGCAATAATGAGGAGACCCCCTGTCAGCAGAAAAGTGGGCCAGAAGAGAGAGAAGAGAAGGGCCTGGGGCCCGTGGAGACGCTGGTATAGAACGCTGCTCCCGTTCTCCCGTGTCGTGGAGAAGCAGTGGAAAACATGGTGCTCGTGGAACCTGGCTCTCACCTTCTCCACGTCGGCCCGGGCCAGCTGGTAGTTGTCTAGGCTGCCGGGGATGTAGGAGCACTGTGGGGACAAGTCAGGTGCTGGGGGACTTGGATTCCTGGTTGCTCAGGCCCCGGGATGGAGGAAGGAAAGGCTGGCTGTGGAGTCAGCCTGGGCTGGAGTTGGGACTTGCGCGTGCACTCTGTGGTTCCAGAGGCTGCTGTGTTAGATGTGAGTGGGGACACTGGGACCGCTCAGCGTACCGCTGCCAACTGCACCAAGTCCTGGCTCTGCTTTTGTGGGCTGTGAAATCTGAGACAAATTGCTCCCCTTACTGAACCTTCATGCCTTCATTGTGTAAAAGGGCTAACAGCAGTAGCACCTAGAGGTGACTAAGGAGCTTTAAATGTGACCGTCCAAGGAGACCAGTGAACCCCCCACGCCTTACGGGACAGTTGCACTTTGTATTCAGACTCAGGGCACAAGCCCTATGCTCAGAGACCCACTGGCTCATGCATGAGACCCCAGCGAGGGAAGCAGATGAGGCAGGTGAGATTGGCAGGTGCCCAGGTGCCGGGGGGGGGGGGGAGCTGTCAGGGAGGGGCGGGGCCTGGCGGGAGCAGAGGACAGCCACATGCAGACGGCAGCCGCCACTCCCTCCCGACAGACAGCACGCGCCCTGCGCTCCAGGAGGCCAGGAGCAACCAGGCCAGCGACACATCAGAAGTCAGAAACCCCATTCCAAGGTGAGCTCTCCCAGTGAGACACTACCGGCCAGAGTTCCAATGGCAAACTCTTTGAGGCCTGATCCTGTGTGAGCCACAGGTCAGAGGTTGGCAGGCCAGGATTGACAGCTTGGGGTGGGCACACGCTTCGTTCTGGCTCTGGTCACTGTTACGAGGGTCCCCCGCCCTGTTCCGATGAGGCCCGGCTGGGGAGCTAAGCAGAGATGGCAGGGCAGAGAACCTGGTTCTCCCCCCCGTGTGAGAGGCTTCATGCTCACCACGCATGTGGTCCTCAGGTGTTTTCAGGGACGGTGCCCTGCCCGGCCTGCCTCAGGATGCCTGTAGAGCACCTCCCTGGAGAAGGCCAGAAATGCTGGCACTGTCCACGTGCTGGAGTCCGTGGACCACTGGCTCTGGCTGAGGCCTGGCCTCCTGTGGGACTTGGCTGACACAGTGAAAACGGTACCTGCTGGTTGCGGTCCCGGGTGTCCTCTGTGTGGTACAGCACGGCCCACCCGCCCACGGCAGACACGTTGACCCACAGGCACGGGTACTGGGGCACCTTCTTGCCCCCTAGCTCGTCCTGGTCCCAGATGCTGGTCTCAATGAGGTGGCAGGTGGATTCCTGGGTCCACACACTGCGGGGAACCACACATGTCTCAGCCTCGGGGTGACACACAAAACACCCAGTTTGGACCCCTGGTTCTCCAGGAGACTTAGAGAAATCCAGGGCCAGGACTCTCATCTGGTGCCAGCATCTAGCCCCTGGGCCTGGGGTGGGGTCACGGGAGCAGTTTCCGACCTGCTCGGGAGTTAAATACCACCTGTGTGATGGTTCTCACCCCCTGGCTTCACCGGGAGCTCCCACAAGGCTTGCCCGTGGAATCGGAATGGCTTGGGCCTGGCAGGGTTCAGAGGCCTCATGTGTAGCTAGGCCAGGATGGTCTTAGCCACAGCATCCTGGTCTCACACAAGGGTGCAAGAGGCTCAGATGTTCCCAGAGCTTTTCTGGGGCCACACAGCACGGAGGATAGGTTGGGAGGCTATGAATCTATCATTGTCCCTCCTAAAATCGATCAGATGTTGAAGGGACTTGGTGTGCACAGGGCGAGGACTTGCGGGAAGGAGGCTGATCTGGCTGTGACAGTGTGCCAGCAGCACTGGGCTGCTCTGAGACTCCAGCCTGGCAGGGCTCCAGGTTGTAAAACTCGAGGACAGCACAGGCCCCAGAGAGGCCAACAGGCTCATCACCCTGTAAACCGTGGTGTGAGTCTTCCTGGGGAGAGCACTCTCAGAGAGCAGAGGCCGACAGCAGCCAGACATGCCCAGAGGAGGATCCGAGACATACTCATGGGGCGGGTGGGGGCACCAGGTATTCCCAGAAATCCCAGAGCTCTTCTGTAAGAGCGAGGCCTCACAGGATCATGGAATAATCTCAAAGACTCCTGGACGGGGCTCCAGGGGGCAGATGGCAGCTCAGTGCAGACCCTTGCTGTCTATCAGCGAAGCCCCGACCGGAGCTGGTGGCCTCCCCATCCCGTGAGGCATCACTCACCTGGACAGGCCTTTCAGAGGGAGAGAGCTGTGCACACACATTTCTGTGCACCCACGATCACACACACTGCAGGGACTGCTGAGCCATGGCGGTGGCTTGACCTGTCACCACCGGTCCCAGGCCAGCAGGCCCCACGCCAGCCTACCCTCCCTGCTAGTGACGCTTGAGCCTGGGAATGAGCATTGTCTCAACCACTCTGGGGTGCCCAGGGAGAGTCGGGGGCTGGCTGGAGGTCAGTACCTTCGCTGGTAGAGAGGCAGCACCGTGGTACCCAGGATGTAGTAGGCGATAACCGCACACACCACCATGGTCACTCCCAGACAGAGCGCTCGCGTCTCTCCCCGCTTCTGGGCCATCACCAGCTTCTTCCCCATGGCTGTCTGGGGCAGCAGTCATTTCTAGGGCCACAGAGACAAGCAAGTGAGACGAGCCCAGCTATCAACAGTATTCCTGTTTGATCCCATAGGCGCCCCCGGCCCCCGTCTGCTCTGAGCATGCCTTCCGTCCTCCTCATTCTGCAGAAGGAGGCAGCCTGGGCCCTCCAGACATCTGCCTGTCATCCCAGGACCCGTGCATGCTGCTCGGTGTGACACCTGTGCAGGCGTGGTAGGAGTCCCCAGATGGGAGGCTGGCTTGGGTTTGATTTGAGAGTCCTTTAAGCAGGAGGCCAGTGAGGGAATACATAGAGGCTGGGGGATGGGGCAGCAAGGCAGGGGTGCTGGCAGCCACTGACCTAGAGCGGGCGAGGAGCAAGGGATCGTCCCCACAGCTCTGCAGCCCTGCAAGGGTCTTGGCAACCCTGTACGCTGGGCTTCAGAACTGTGGGATGCTGGCTTTCTGTTACTGGAGTCATGGAGTTTGTGCTCATTTGCTACAAGGGCTGCAGGAAATGGTGAGCAGCGGTGGGTGGTCACTCGCCCCTTTCCCTTTCTGTCTCCCCACTCAGCACTGCCCAAGGCCACTACTCCCCTGCACCAGCCCCTGGGCGCTGGACAGGGTGTAAACCGGACAGACCTTTTCAGGACAGGCCCCTGCAGCTAGGTGACCTGGGCCCACAGCGCTGCCACCGACCCCGCCTGCAGCTGGCCCTGCGTTCAGTCAGCTGCCCCGGGCCTCTGGGTAAGCTCTGAGGCTCGTTTAAGTGGTCAGGATCCAGCTCTGCCACAAGTGCAGGCGGAGGTTCCCCCGTTATAGGGAAGTCTGGCCTGACACCGGGGAGGCCGCCATTCACCCTGCCTGCTCCCAGTGCAAACACATGGCCTTTATGCATGGAGAGAGTTCTGGAGACAGGCTCTTGTCTGCAGAGAGCTTGCTTTCTGCTCAGGCTCTCTCCTAAGCTCTGGACTGAGCTCCTTGGCCCAGACAGCCTGGCCCGCCCCTTCCTTCACTGCCCTCAGAACCAGGCGTGGAGCTGCGCCCCTGCCTGTCCCTCTGCTTCTGACGCAGAGGTGAGAGGCGACCCAGTGACACTGGGGGCTGAGAGGCGGGGAGCCCCTCCTTTCCAACGGGGACATTGTGGGGTTGCGAGTGGGCAGAATTCCCCTGGAGGAGAAGACCTGTGCTTGCCTCCTTTCTGTCTGTTCCTACCAGGAGCACTCAGGGGGAGCAGTGGGGCCAGCTGGAGGGACCCAAGCTCACCCCATCTCCCCAAGCCGCAACTGGAAGTTAAGACTCATCGCTTAGAGTGAGAACCCCCAGACCTGGGGTCCGACAGGGAATGTCAGCAGTAACAGCACACTTCAGTTAGGACTCCAGGAACTTCCCAGTGTTGTGCGCCGCTAAGTGTCTCTGTGGAAAGGTGGCGAAGTACAGAGTGTGGTAGGCGGTCTGTGGAGAGGATCACGTGCATCCTCTTCCTTAGAAGGGCAGGAAATAGAGGCTTGGCGGGGCCTGGGGAAGGGGAGCTGGGGTCACAGACGTGCTCCCGTCCTGGGCCCCTGCTAGCCATCATGTGACTGAGATGGGAGAATCACAGCACCGGCCTCCAAGAGCTGTAGTAGAGACCATTACCCTCCCCCAACACACACACACACACACTCACACTCTCACACACACACACTCATATACACACATACTCACACATACATTCACTCACACACACATACACACTCTCACACTCACATACACACATATACACTCACATACACACTCACACATACACACTCACATACATACACTCACACACATACACACATACACTCACACACACATACACATACACTCACACACACATACACACACTCACATACACTCACACACATACACACACTCATATACACTCACACACACATACACACATACACTCACACATACACATACACTCACACACACATACACACACTCACACACTCATATACACTCACACACACATACACACACTCACACACACATACACACTCACACATACACTCACACACACACACGGGAGCAGCCAGCATTATTAACAGAGGGACCGGTGAGGTGGGGGCTGGCCATGCCTAGCCCTGTCCCAGGGCTGGTCCCGATCTCCACTTGCTGGTCACTGGATGCTGAGGGCCAGGCCAGTGAGCCCCTCGAGAGACGGGCTGACACCGGCCCAGACAGCCAGCCGCTCTGGAGCTCTGCTGAGCATCTGGAGGGGGAGGGGTCCCTGCAGGCTCTTCTCCCGGCCCTCCCCCCACCAGCCCCTCAGGTGTCACCAGCTCCAGCCCCCAGTTCCAGCGCTTAGACGCCCGCCTGTACTCACAGCCCGCTGCCTGTGGTCCCGCAAGCAGGTGGTTTCTTTCTGCCCGCCCTCACCCCCACCCCCACCCCCACCAGAGGCCTTGGAGCTCTGGCAGGAAGTTCGGCCTCCCTGGAGACACCCGGCTGGGCGGCTGCCTTGGGTCCCATCTGGGCAGAGGCTCCATGCCCAAACATGGACAGATCTGAGCTCACAGCCTCGGGACGCAGCTCTGCTGCAGGTACACAGCCCTACAGACGGCAGCTGCTGCTCCGGCCTCTGCACCTGCAGTTCCAGACTCTGTCAGGCAGCCCCAGCAGCAAAACTGGCACCCTGGACCAGACCACCCTGGCATATTTGGACATGATTCTTCACTCGGTCTTTGTGGGTTGGCAGGGACACCAGGGATGGGAAGTGGTTTTCCTTATGTGTGCATGGGAAGAAGAAGGAGACAAAGCTGAAGGTGAAGGGTTAGGCTGGTCATGAATCCTGGTATTCCTGTAGCCGAGACCTTCTTCCTCTGGGTGCTGTGTGACCCTGGGAAAGTGCTGGCCCCTCTCTGGGCCTTTATTTTCTCATTGGTACTCTTGGTGCTTTCAGACCTTACTTTGGCCGGGCGCCGGTGACTCACGCCTGTAATCCTAGCTGTTCAAGAGTCTGAGATCTGAGGACTGTGGTTCAAAGCCAGCCTGGCGAGAAGTCCCTGCAAGACATTCATAGCCAATTAACCACCAAAAAAGTGGAGGTGGAGCTGTGGTTCTAAGTGGTAGAGTACTGGCCTTGAGCAAAGGAGCTCAGGGACAGCGCCCAGGCCCCGAGTTCAGGCCCCATGTTTTCTTGGGCAAGGATAGTGTTGAGGGTAGGGTGGGGATTCCGGGCGCTTCCTTGGAAGGACGGCTGAGCCAAAGCAGGGAGCGGGGCGCTGCCCAGGCTGCCGCCGCTGGTGCAGCCTCCTCCTCCTGGAAGAGCCACCAGGGGCCTCAGAAACCTGACTAGCCCGGCTCTCCCCGTGGAGGTCACCGCGGGGGGTTGTGAGACTGGCTGCGTGGTGAATGGTGTACCTGAAGGCACCTTCCACCTCTGCCAGGGCAGGCTGCCTGCCCGCCTGCTTTATAGAGGGTAATCACTGGGCTCTCCAGCCACCCTGCCCTGAGTCAGCCCCGAACTGGAGATCATTCAGCTAAGACCAGGAGCGGGGTTTGGCTTTGTGTTTGTTTTGAGAAGTGATAGTCCCTAAAGCTACCTGCGATCGTGAGTCTCAGAGAAGGAGCCTCCCTGTGCTGGAGGAGGGGCGGCCATGTCTCTCCCTCCTCCTGGGTGGAGCTCTTCAGCGCCCTGAGGCTGGATGCTGTGATGGTGGTGCAGGCTCTCTGGCTGGCTCCGTACCCCAGCTCAGCTCTGAGCTCTGACTGCTCCGGCAAAGCTGAGCACACTGCCAGGGGCTGTGCCCGGCTGCAAGCACAGGGCTGGGTGGATTTTGCTGTCTGTAAGGCTCTGAGTGAGGAGGGTGAGGGGACTGGCACTCAGCCAGCATCTCTTCACGATACCCTGATTCCGGGACCATGAGAATAGGGTGACTCATGACAACCGTGCCGAAGACTCATGGGGGTGGCCTTACGTGGGGCTCAGGGCTGGGTGGTCTAGTTGAGATGCAGCCTCTCACCGTGCCTCAGTCTTTTACCTCTAAAATGGAGACTAATGCATCCCCATCCGTACTGGCCCGTGGCTGAAGCCTGGAACACCAGCAAGCACTAAGAACTGGACCCTTGTCAGCTGTTTAACTGCCGGATTTGCAGAGAGCCAACATGGAACCCATTCCTCCACGCTCTGGTCTAAGCTCCAGGGTAACCACCAGACACACAGACACAGCCCGTAGGGGTTGCAGACACCCAGCACCCCCGCCCCCCCCCGCCTTTCCACCCAGCCTCGAAGGCTTGCCTTGTGCAGACGTGGCTGTCAGGAGAGAGGGGACAGACCAGCTCACCTGTGTCCTTGCCCTGAAACAGAACAGAAAAGCTGGCGTTTTCTGTTTGGACCAGTGTTTAAATAGGCCTGTGGAAAGGGAACGGCAGCTGCCTCCCAGGCCAAGCGTGGGGCCCAGGGTCAGGTAGGATTCATAAGAATGCTATAAATACAAACAACGGCCCATCCCTGTGGGCAGAGGGCTCTGGGAGGGAGCGGGAGAGAATGAAATTAGGATGGGAAAATGCAAATTGTTTGGGTGGAGATGCAGAGGGACAACGTAATGGAGTCTGACTGTGTCGGCCAGCGGGGCTTGAGGTTGGCTCAGAACAGGCGCCCAGGAAGCCAGGACAGAAGAGGCAAAGCCCTGCCAGTGGCATGCACTGCTGTCCTGGCGTGGCCCACAGCAGCACCTGGCAGATTCTCTCACACACACACACCCCCGTCAAAGAATCTGAACTAAGACCCCTCTGTCGCAGACTCGGAAAGGTCCTGCGATTTCAGACCCGCTCTGCTGCCTCCCAGGAGCTAGCCATGAGTGCCATGGGCCCAGCCCATGACAGCGAAGGACCAGGAGTCAGTGGGAGGAGTGGCTGGAGGGCTCCCTGGGCCTCTGCCCTGCCCCTCCCCCAGAGCCTCCTTCCATGGGTGCTGACCCGGCCCGCCACGTCGCTCAGCCTCCTGGGCTTTCCAGATGGTGTCTGTCAGAGAAGCAAGCAGCCTGTGGGGTGATAGCAGGACAGCAAGGGTGGCAGCCACGGGGTAAGTGGAAGGACCCTAGCCCCCAGGCTGGGGAGCAGCTTGTCCCCTGGGCCGGGCAGCCAGGAGGTCGCTGAGGTCCAAGAAGCCAGAGGTGAATTCAGGGAGGATCCGGCAAACACTCCAAGAAAAAGGAGAAAGGAAATGCGGCAGCAGGTGTCGGAAGTGGCCTCCATCCAACATATCAGCCCTTTGGTCCAGAAGCCCCACTTTGGAGAGATCAGAGACATATTCTAAAGAACGAGCAAACATGGGACGCTGTCAGGCTGGGCATGGAAAACAGGGGTCACATTCCAAGGTTCCGGGGAGCCCCCGACACCGAGTGTGCCAAACCCTCTATCCGTTCTTTTTCCTTTCCCTAGGCCAAGCTCAGTTTGTAGCGAGGCACGCTAAGAGATCACGGGATCTAACATCTTAGCCTTCTCTGCGTAAGATGCTTTCTTTCCTTACCGAGTGAGGATGCACTTTGCACCACATCTGAGTGACTCTTGGGCTTGGAGGCTGGTGTTATGTGGAGTAAAGGTTAGATGAACACAGCTTGTGCTGCCATGACAGTAGAACGGAGAGCCAGGATGGGTCCAGGGTGAGCAGCAGGCGTGTGGGGACACTGGACGGGGGACGGTCTGCATCTGAAGTCTAGTGTGAGGCACAAGATTTCCTCATGAAATGGAGAGCTGGCAGCAGGCCTGGGCGGGGCCCTGGTCTCCTCCCGGGCCTGCATCTGGAGCGGCTGACACCTGCTGGCCCCTGCTGGCTGGGGCAGGAGGCACAGTGCACTTTCCAGTTGCTCTCTTGGAGTCATTTCCTGCCATAATGAAACCTTTCTAAACTTAGCTCCTCTCAATTACAACGTCACCAGCTTACACTGCAGCTGGTACTAGGCAGGACACCAGGCCTTGGGTTAGAAGACATGGACTCAAATACCCGTCCACATCTCTGTCTCATGCATGGCCTCGGCCTCCTGGCCAGTCACAGAGTGTTGGGGAGGTCTGAGGGCCCGCCACCTACGCCCTTCCTGTAACCCCTATAATCACCACGACAACAGAGCTCTCAGCGGCCCTGAGATAAGAAATCACGCCCCCAACCCAGGGTGACCAGTGCCAGAGGGACCCCTCTTCCCCTGTGGGGTGAGAGGCCAGAGTGGACCACTTTTAGACTATCCTGGAGAAGTTAAACTGTGTGTGTGTGTGTGTGTGTGTGTGTGTGGTGTGGTATATGGTGTGTGTAGCATGTGTGTATGTGTGTGTGCACCCATATGTGCATGTGTGGTCTATATACACATGTGTGCACATGTGTATGGTAGGTGCGACATGTGTATGTATGTGTGTGGTGGGTGCACGTGTGTAATGTGTGCATGTGTATGATGCTTATCTCTTCTCTGTCAAAATCTCCTTGAGAGCTCCTGGCCGGATCCCCCTCACCGCTGCCCAGTTTCTTTGAGTAGGAATAAATAAGTGTAAGTGGCTAGACCTCTAGGCTGTGCCCCTGTGTCCTGCTGGTGTCCCACAGAGTGAACCCGAGGGCTTGAGGGAGGAGCTGCCTCCTAATGCCTAGCGCGTGGTAGGTGCCCAGTGCACGCGGGTGGCGCCTAGTTGGGGATTTTGAGCAGCCAGCTCATTTTCTGCGTATTCTTGTATGATGCATAAACGTTAGTGTTTGGGGCAGATCAGGTGGCCGTCCCCTGTGATGTGCGGGGCTGGGCCTGTGGCAGACAGAAGACAGTGGGGCAGGGCTTTCTGAGACTTACCCCACTTTGGCAGGAGTTTCTACCCTTGGGTCCCTAATTGTGTAGCCCAGGAGATGCTGCCAAAACCTGCTGACGTTCTTCTGTGAAGAACACGTACTTCGTTGTCACCATGAGCAGGAGGCCACTTCCCCCCACCTACTAAACCCAGGTTGTGACAGCCAGCCCTGTCCCAAGACAAACGGCCAGGGTGAGAGCCTTGAGGCCCCCGCGGGACGTGGCTAGGCCTCCCTGGAGGGCCGCTGACCCTTGACCCAGGCCAGCCTGAGGCCCCACCCTGCCTGACGTGGTGCGGGGTAGCACTCCAGTCATTTCCTGGCATGTACTTGGTGTTATCTGAAGAGCAGGACTCCTGTTTTTAACTTCTCCTTTTTGCTTGCCTGTGGCCTCCAATTTCTCCACAACGAGCGTGTTCAACATTTGTAATCAGAAGGAAACTCAATAGAGGTTATTGGATAAAAGAATCAGCAGTGAGAAATTGTGGTCTCCGGGGGAAGCAGGGGCCTCTTCCTGCCTGACAACGGAGGCTGCAGCATCTTTGCTGGAACCTTCTGTGTGAGCCTCAGGCTCCACCCTCTGCCGTGTCACCTGCCCC